TCTTACCTTACCACTTAGGTGTCTGGCAGAAGTCGTCCTTGAGGACAGGCCCTTCAGCTGCAGGTCAGAATGGAAGCTGGCGCGGGGTTAGAAAGAGACATAGTGCATGCTATAGTGATCTTAGTCTTTTCCCCTGCTCGGTTTGTTCTTTTTATTTTGCTTTTCCCTCGGCACTCCACTGTGTGGAATGCAAAACTCGTCAACTAATCTAATAAAGTTTAGCAAGTGCTGTTAAGAGACAGAGCCCGGTCTGCAAGCTCAGTGGGTGGCTAGCAAAGACTCCTAGTTGGGGTGGCTGTAAGTACTAAGGTGAAAAGACTGGGGAAGGTTAATGGGGAGAAAGAAGTAACCGAGAGCAGAGTAAGGGAGAGCCTTAGTGGGACGGGGGGAAGAAGGGGCCGAGCAGCGTGGTGTTCTGTCGCTTTGCCCTTCCTTGAACTCTAAAGTTGGAGTTGGGTTTCTTTTGATCTCCTCCCTGTTCGTAAATTATCCCTGAGCGGTTTGAAAACAGACCATTCCCCTTTGTAGCATTTTGTTCCCCATCCAGTAGGGAAACTTTAGTTTATGGCAGTGTTGCTTGGGAGAACTGTGCTATGAACTGGCTTGCTGTTGCCTTGTCACTTGGAAGACTGCAGAAGAAAGAGGGCGATAAAAAGGCAGAATGGCAGCCAAAAAGGGGAAAGAAGAGCCCTTGCGAATGCTGTTTGCAGCAAGGACTGTGGGAATGCAGGTGGAGAATAAAAGACAAAGCAGAACCAGTAATTTCCGAGAGAGTAGCGCTACTATGGTGCAGCAGCACTACTGGAAATGACTTGATTTTGAAATAATTAACTAGAAATCCGTTGCCTTACAAGGTCTTTTTTTTTTCTTCCAAATTGCAGAGGTTTTGATACAAATCAGGTAAGAGAGACTTTTCTAAGCACGTGTCCGTGTACGTGCTTGTGTGCCTCAGCGCGTTAAGGGAATGAATGAACAAATATGCTTGCTGGGCCTCAAGGGACGTTTATTCAGAAATAGTAGGGAACAGGGGAGATATACTAGTTCCCAGGGGCGATGAGGGAGAGCTGTACAAGCTAAATAAAGGTGATACATATCCCATAAAGGGAAGGGGGGGAAGGGAAGCAATCCTAGCAATTGCCTTGCTCTCATGACAGAGCACTGCAGCAAGCCTCCAGAAGCTGCATCCTGAGGTAGGCTGAGCTGTAAGGAGAGGGTGAATTACTTTGTATACATGCTGAATACCTCTTCAGCAGTGAGCAAATCCTGCAGGTGAAAACTGCAGAACCCAAAGAGGTAGTTTCCGTTTGGAAAACCTTCTCAGTTAAGTAACCAGCTGTGGTGACACAGCTGAAAGGATTGAACAAGTTTGTTTTTCAAAGACCTCATGCTCATACAGCTCGTGAGTGTGATAGAGTAACAGATCCATAGCAGGGAGCAGTGCATTTCCAGCAGATAAAACTGAATGCTGAGTCTTCTCCAAACCAGAGGTAGCAAGTTACTTAATGTAAAGTTGGAAGCAGGAGAAGGAGAGCCCAGAAAATGTGCTGTCCTCTGCAGGGAAGAGACTTGAGTTCCTATAGTTGATGCCTGAATAAACCTGATCCTGTGGTAAGAATACTGAGCTTTGCAAGTGAGAGGGCTCTGAGGGCTGGTCTTAGATAAAGCATCTGATACTGTTTTTCTTGAAACCTTACCTGGAAAAAAAAAGCTCAAGGTAAGCTGAATACTTGCATAGTGCTCTTTGGAACTCATGTTAAAGCTGGTCACTGGGGACAGCAATGTAGCACCTGGAGGGGACTGTTGTGTCCCAGCTTACCCTCTCTCTTAATAATCTAGCCAAAGAGGTTGATGGTGCATGTAGTCTACCTGGAGACTACTGAAACTGGAATTTAATAAATGCAGAGAGCTGAAACATGAGTTAGAAACAGCTTCAGCCTTGAGGAAGTGCCCCAGAAGTAACTGGAAACGCAGACGCATAGCAAGTAAAGGAGACCTAGTGGTTCTGGCACACTGGAAAAGTCCTAGCCATGGACCAGGGCTCTGTGCTAGCTGCTGTGTAGGCACAAAGCCGAGACAGGTGCCTCTGTCAAAACAGGACAGGAGCTGATCAGTGTGCACAGGCTGAGAAAGTAAATTCAGCAGGACTATGGAAGTGGCCGGGCAGTGACCATCCCAGTATTATCGCTTTTCATTTAACATGGTTGATGGGAAGCTTTGCTGAAGAATTTTGGGGTGTATAAGGCAGCTGTGAGTGTTTGTGACTGCTTCCTCTAGACTCGGGGAAGATGTGGGGGAGGCCTGCTTCTTTCTCACGTGGGTGATAGAAGGCAGCGCTGTGGGCAGGTGGCAATTAGAGTCAACTCTGAGCAGAGGGACACAGAGGGGGCAGAATTCCTCACTCCAAGGTGTGATTACAGGCTAGGGAATTAATCTAGAAGACATGCGGTGTTGGCAGCAGGAGAGGCCCTGAAGGATGTCTTTGTGTATCTGCTGAAGCTGTAGATCAAGGATTTTTACCAGCGCATCTGTCTGTACCCTCTGCCTGGCTTCCCTGTCCTGCGTTTTGGAATGGGGCATTGTGTTGCACTTTGCTCTCTGCTGAGCAGTGGTAAATTGGAGAGACGCCCAAAGCACAAGAGCAGCAATGCTGGAAGGGCTGGCTGTGATGGGGTAGGTGGGGGAAAGCAAGAATAAAATTGTTAATCCAGGCTGTGCTGGTATGTAATGTCAGAAAGCAAACTGTAGCTTGTCCTGGTGTCTGCCATCTGCTTCAGAGGGACCTGTGAAGACAGGGAGCAAGCACAGCCCTAGACGTGCATCTGTCTGTGCCTGTGACCTCCTGACGGGATCTGCGGGGTTTCTAAGTTGTGGCTCATTGGGATGGGAGGGGGAGAGTTGATGCGTGGTGCAGGGAGTTCATCTGGTGCTGCTGCTGTGCTCCAGCCTGTAGAATGCCTGGGACAGGAACTGTGTCTAACTATTCATTTTCTGAACAGTTTGGGGCATGGAGTAATGCGTGAGGCTGAGCAAAGAGAAACTAGCTGGACACTGGGATGCTTCCTGCTACAGCAGGACGTGTTGGGGTTTGGGCTGGGGGTGCTTCCCTGTGGCTAGGTGAAACAGCCCTGTATAGCCCAGGGTTAATGTGGAAAGTGTCTGTGCCTGCCTTGGCAGTTGTGTTACTCATCCCTGTTTCTTTGTCAGTCGGCTAATACAAAGTCTATAGTCCCCGGTGCAGATGAGCCTTCAGTCTGCATTTTCACATACAGCCGGGGAAGGAGGCCTCATCTTTGCAGTCCTTTTAAAGCCAGGATATGAGTAGTACTGCAGGGCATGATCCAGCATTAGCCAGGGAGGAACAAAATGTCTTCAGTCTCCCTTCTCTGCTTGTTCAGGATCTTCTGTGGTTCCCATGGGGATCTTGGTGGGAGAAGAGGAGCACTGGGTGACAGCAGAGTTCTGGGGATGTAGGGCCAGGGCTTTGAGCTTATTGTGCAAGAGCTGGCCTGGGCCCCTCACTTAGATCTATTAGATCCCTGCCTTTACACACACATTTTTTTCCCCAGCCGTTTCTCTGTTAGGAGGCACAGCCTGCAGGGTGACAAAGGAGATGGTGTTGGAGTGCTTAAGCTCTTAGCTGGCAAGAAGCCATCCCGATCTTGGCGTGTGCTAGGGGGCAATGGGATGGAAAAGTTGGGGAGGAAAAGCAGCTGTTGTCTTCTAGCACTGCAGTTCTTGTTGTGCCCACGAGATGGGGGAAGCTGCTCACTAGATGGGCAATCAGAGGGGCGCTCGCCTGTCCCCTCCAGGCGTGGGTGACTTCAGCCTATGACCACTGCTGAGAGGCAATAAGGAAGGGGGTTTGTTTGGGCAAGGAGCAGGGTGCAGGTGGGAGGCTGAGCTCTGCAAGCAGCTGTGCTCTGACAAGGGGTGATGTAAGAATATACTCAGGGTTTCCATGCCCACAGGGTCTTCAGGTCATACTGCCTCAACTTACCAATGAAACTGTTGTTCCTGCTGCCAGAAAATGTTCCTGTCTCTGGTGCGTGAACCAGGGCAGGTTTTGGCACTGTCTCCAAGCACCAGAAATGCTTAGAAGTCTTATTCCCCTGCCCTGGCTCTCGGGGAGGGCTGGCACCGAGCAGCTGAACCAGTGCTGTTCCTGCTCTGTTTCATTAGTAGATTTCAAACAAGTGTGGTGTTCAAAAGGACAAGGCAATCTCTTCTTTGGAGATGCAGTTAAACTTGACTTGAGTTCCAGCTGGCCTGGTCTCTGGCTTTAAACACTGGACCTTGCTCCCACAGCAGAGTAAGGATATACAACTTGCTTGTGGTCTGTAGTTAAAATTAAGCTTCAGATCTCTGCATTTCTTGTGCTTAGCTAAGACAGCTCTGTGAGACCACCCTCACCCGCTTCCATCTGTGTTCCTCAAGACCCCCTTCTACCATGCTACCAGAGCAGATAAGTCTGGTTGTGGGACGGGAAGAGCAAACTGGATGCGTTACTCTTCCTCTCCCCCTTGTCTTGTGCTCATTTCCTAGAGGACCTGATACAGTCCCCTGTCTTGGGACTAGTATGTAATTCTGGATGCTAACTCAACACTAACAGCCCCAATGCCTAGGATGGTTGTTTGGCTGACAGTGGAGGGTTGTGCACGTTGGCTGATGATGACTGAGGAGGGCCTTGGAACCCATTAACTGTAACCCTGAAACATGGCTGGAGGGTGGCAGTTTCCTCCTGGGGGAAGCACGTGTCAACAGGGGCACTGCCTAGGAAGTAATTAGCTGCCCAAAAAGGTTGTAGAAGTGCCCCATGCTTGTATGGGGGCTGTGCTGTGGCTCTTAGTAGTCCATAGGTGTGTATGTGTGCTTGTCATTAATGTGGGTATAAATGTGACACGGCATTCTTGTCCTGAGGTGAGCAATGCACGATTTGAGATTTGGCTGCATCTAGCCTGCCTCTCTGACCCTGTTTTTTTTCTCTCTCCCCACCACCGCAGGCTCGGGCCCAAGCGGAGGCCCTCCACATTGGGGATGTACACTTTTCTGTGAAGCCTGGTTCCAGCACCTCCTCTCCCAAGCTTCACTCCAGCGCTGCAGTGCACCGGCTCAAGAAAGATATCCGTCGATGCCACCGCATGTCCCGGCGCCCCCTGCCCCGTCCAGACCCCCAGAATGGTGGGAGCGTGGGTGGCGGGGCTGGCATCCGTCCTCCCGTCTCGCCCTTCTCGGAGACCGTCCGCATCATCAACCGTAAGGTGAAACCCCGCGAGCCCAAGCGCAGCCGCATCATCCTCAACCTCAAAGTCATTGACAAAGGTGGGAAGCCAGCCAACGGGACCGGGGGCCTGGCTCGGCCCAAGATCCCGTCCCGAAACCGTGTCATTGGCAAGAGCAAAAAGTTCAGTGAGAGCGTCCTCCGCACCCAGATCCGTCACATGAAGTTTGGCGCCTTTTCGCTCTACAATAAGCCGTCCGCTGCACCTGCCCCCTCTCTGGAGGGCAAAGGGGAGGCCGAAGGCTCCCAGGCAGCCTCCTGTGGGCTCATTATGGGCTCCACCCCCTATGATGCCCCCAGCTCCAGCTCCTCCGGCTGCCCGTCGCCCGCCCCCCACTCCTCCTCCGACCCAGATGATTCCCCTCCGAAGCTGCTCCCTGAGACCCTCAGCCCAGCCATCCCCGACTGGCGCGAGTCGGAGGTCCTCGACCTCTCGATCCCACCTGAGTCGGCTGCCACCAGCAAGCGTTCTCCCCCAGGAGGGTGCAGCGGGGGGCAGACACCCTCCTTGTCCCTCTCCTCTTCTGACCCGGAGCAGGAGGCCGGCGACTGGCGTCCTGAGATGTCCCCTTGCTCCAACGTGGTGGTCACGGATGTCACCAGCAACCTCCTCACCGTCACCATCAAGGAGTTCTGCAACGCGGAGGATTTTGAGAAGGTGGCGGCGGGCGGTGGTGGAGGAGGCAGCAAGTGAGCAGCCAGGTCCCCCTGCTCCAGGGGCGTGGGGGGAGCTCTACCTGCGAGAAGTCGTGGTGCGAATGGCTGTCCTTAGTTCTCTCCTTCTCCCCTTGGCTGTCCCTCTGCCCTCACTGCCACCCTTCCTCCTCCTTTCCCCCTGCCCACTCCCTCTTGCCTGGAGGCTGGAGTGTGTCAGTGGGGGGGAGCGGGGGCACCCACTGTTCCTGGGTGTTGCTGCCGCTGGGAGGAGGCAGGGAGGGTCGTGGTGGGGCTGGGGAGTGGTTGTTTGTCCTTGAATGTGGTGTTGTCCAACGGGCGGTGGAGCCTTTGGGGATGAGGGATGGGTGAGCGTGTGTCTGTGTGCCTGTGGGGGTGGTGGGGAAGGTGCTCTTCCTCCTCCTTCCCCTTCCATCTTTGACAAAAACTGAAGAGGAGCTCCAGACCCTTGAGGGGAGGATGTAAGAGGATTGGAGCCCTCACCTACACCCCCCAAGCCTTCTCCCACAATGTGCATGCAGTCTCTTCCATTCCTATGTTTCCCCCTTGCCATGACCCTGATCCTGCCATCCTTCCCCTTCTTGGCCTGCGGCCTGGATCTGCCCTTTACTCTGCTGTCCTGATGGCAGTTGCTGATCCAGATGCCCCCAGAGTGAGGGGGAGAGGGGCAGGTGAAACGTCATGCCTGGAAGGTGCTTGAGACAAAGCTGGGGTGGTGGGGGGTGCCCCATGCAGCATACACCCCATATTGGCTTCCCCTTTCCTTTGACTATTGGTGCTACCTTGGCAGTTGTATGGGCTCTTTCAGGTGACCTGGTCCCTCTTCTCCTGCATCTTCCAACTTGCTCAGCTTTGCAGGGGGAAGGGAAGAAAAGGGAATCTGCTTCTGGCCCAGATCTTCCTCCTGGTGTTCATCACTTGCACTTGCTTGGGGGAGAGGGCATGAAATGCCCTTCCCCAGCCTTTCTGTGGTGGAAGTGGGAGTGGACCATGCATCCATCCTTCAGTTTGGGGGAAGATACGCCAACAATGTGATGCTGCCCCAGCCGGGTGAGGCTGGTCTCCCACCTTGCGCGTAGGCTTCCCCTGACCCTTTTTGCTTTCCCTGCTCCCTTGGAAGGAGGGAGGGATGGATGCTAAGGCGAGTCATTTGCTCTTCCTGCTTCCTTCTGTTTCACCTGCTCTCCCTTCCCTGTAGTGGATGGCCTGGAAGAGGGTTGCCCTCTGTCTTTTCAGCATCTGAAATGGCCTTTACAACTGTCAACCAAAGGTGCTAATAAGAAATAACTGTCTCTCTCACATCATATGCGTGTGCGCTGGATCTCTTCCCCCAGAGCTCCTGTGAGCTGATCCAGAAATTCCTTCTCTTCACCCCAAGCAAGTAGGAGCGAGCAAGGCCACAGCTTGCTGTTCTTTACCCACAGCTCCCTCTTTCCCTGACCACCCTTGTTCACATCCAAAATAAGCTCTCTCTTTCACCTGCCATTTCTGGCTTGCTCCATTTCTGTATGGGTCCTAAGCTTCATGGTGAGATGCTGTTCCTTTGCTCTCCCTTCTCCCCTACTCACACAGGGCTCAGCCTGTAGAGGCAAGGAAAAGAGGTGCTGATCAATGGGAGAGCCTCACCCTCTCAGCGCTGTCCCCTGTATTTGGGATGGGGCAGAGGGGCGTCACTTCTACATAACATGCTGCAGAGGTGAAAAGGGTGGAAAAAATTCCCCGCACCGGGGCTCACCTACTTACAAACCTGCCCTGGGCGGGTGAACACAAATGGAATTGGCCCCTCTGGTGCTTCCACACGAGGATTCTCCGGAGCCGCCGGCTCCGAGGAGTGCTCTTGCGTGGAGTAGTGATTTTGTGGTTGCAGTGGTCTGAGGGTAGAAAGAAGGCAGTTTCTGGGAGAGAGGCAATATTTGTCTGCCCAAGGGGCGTTGTCGGGGTGGTAGAGGGATAGACCAGCTTCTGACCTTAATTAGGGCTTCTGTGCCCAGAGCTTGTCTTCTCCCCGCCTCCAGCGCCTGGATTGGTGTAATAAAATCCTTGCTGCCCTCCCCACAAGCTTTGCCTCGCAGCAGGTGGAATTCAAAGCCGTGGGGCATGGTGAATTCACACCAGTTGTGGCTCAGTGTCTGTACAGACAGTCCGAGGGGGATTCCAGGTGCTGTTAGCACCACCCTTTGCACACCTCTTTCTTTTTCTTTCCTTGGTTAAAGAGCTTAGTGGACTCTTTGGGGATGCGGTTGCATTCACAGCTGAAACTAGGGGCAGGGAGAAAGAGACTGCCCCGATCCATTCACCAAGCTAAGGCTTCCTATAACTTGTTGGACTTGTGTGTGTGTCAGTAGTAATACCTGCCTGTATTTTTCGTGTCTTTTTTTTTTTTGCATCTTTCCTGTGTCTGGCACACCTGGGGATCCCTTATTTTAGCATAGCCTATCCATTTGACTGCAACTTCAAAGATGAGCAGTTTGTAGGCATAGGGAAAAGCTCTTTCTTAGGGAAACAGCGAGGAGATTCTTCTCTTTTTTTTTTTTTTTTTTTTTTTTCCCCCTTCTCAACAAGAACTATTCTGTGGCTGCGAGATAAGAGGAGCTTATTTGTGGGGTGGATGCAAACTGGCCAGTCACTTTAGGTTGTTAAGTTACTGTTTGGTGTGTATGTGGTGATGTGTTTTGTTTCGTGGTATTGAGGTTCTGGAAAAAAAAAAATAAATTGAAGCGTTTAAGTGGGAGATAAAAGGGAACTTAAATAGGAAACTCTTGATGTGTTTTGGCCAAGATGTGTGTTCGCTTGGCAGAATTCTTTTCCCCAGTGTCTCTTGTATGGTGTTATTTGGGGGCAGGAATTGTTTAATCGAAGGGTTTTTGCCTTTCTCCAGAGTGACAAGCAAGGGGACTGTCTGTGAAGAGCAAAACAGTGGGTCATTGTAGGGATGCTCCGTGAGGACCTTCTTCCTGTGGTGAGGAGATAAGGGGACTTGTTGCAGCAGAGGAACTCGTGCAGTAGATCCTCTTTGTGGAGGAAGAAAGGAGTATGATCCGGCTTGCAGACACAGCTCAACTGCTTGTGTGACAAATCTCTCCCTGGGTGGGTCACCAGGTGGGAACCAAACCCTGAACCTCTGGATCTGAAATGAGGGTTCTGTGCTGTTTTGAGTTAGAAGTCTGCTAACTTGAACACAGCAGCAGCCTCAAGTTCCCTCAGGTGGACAAGCCACTTGAGGCTGACTAACCTACCTTCGTATTCATGTGGGTTACACTCCTTCTGGATTTTTGCCCTCACTCCTTAATGGAGATGGGAAGGAAGATCTATCCATGCTCTTTAAAAAGGGCGTGGGATTGAGGGAGGAGTTTATTTGAAAGTATCCCCTTCCCTTCCCCGTAACCCCTAGGGAAAAAAAAAAAAAAAAATACTGATTTTGAAGACAGCGGGTTTCCAAAAGTAGTTAAGTAGCCAAATCCCCTTCCCCCCCCCGAAACCCCTAGGAAAAAAAAAAAAAAAACAAAAAACAGGGAAATATTCTCTGTGTCTGTGCCATGTTTGTTCTCTTGTCGTCGTGTTTTTAGAGGAGATTTTATGATGGAGTGGAAAAAGTGAAATGATTAGTTTTGCATAAAAAAAGAAAAGTTTAAAAAAAATTTCTACAGGGAGAGAGCGAGAGAGAGAGTTTAAAAATTAATAAAAAATGCAGTGATTGCACAAACTGTAGTGGTATTAGATGGTCCTTAGAGAAAAGAGTATTTTGTAGTATCGAAGCATGTGTGTCTGGGATGGTGTTTGACTTGCTTGAACTGGAGGGAAAGGCATTCTGGGACTAAGCAGCGATGTCCGAGCTGAAAAGGCAAGTTGCATGTTGGAGGAACCCTGTCTACAAACCCTTCCCATCCTTGCCTCCCAAGTGTTGGAGTGAGTTCCCTTCCCTCCCATACCTCTCCTGTGAGCTAAGGTGGAGTCTCCAAGTGGTTTTCTGGCCGAGCAGCCCTCAGAAATGGCCGGTCGTGTTCTGCCAGAACATGGATCAGGCCACCAACATGGAAACAGTTGACTTACTTTGCATGCACAGCAAGCTGCTAAGATTTGGGGTTGGCATGTACCTTTCCTGCCAAGTCGCTGTCTCTTCTCTTTTCCCTCTCCCGTATCCAAGCAGGATTAAACATGGTGGGCTTATCTCCCGGGAAGCAGATATGCCTCCCCTCCGCAGGGTCTCTTAGCTTCTTCCAGCATCAGGTGGGGAATGGCATTTTTCCATATAGGATTCACCACATCAGGACAGAGAACCGAGTCCCATCTGTGTGTAGTCCAGCATCCCATCTCTGACAGTAGTCGGATCTTCAGAGGCAGATGAGGGAGCTGCCTTGTGTGCTCTGAAGGTGTTGCTGAGTGAGGCATACCCTCTTCTTGAGGCCAGCAAATGCTGGAGGTTCTGGGGTGGGGAGGGGAGAGGAGCACCCCAATGGGACTGTGCTTGAGTAGAGCTGCCGCCTTCTGCTCCGGCTTCCTGCGGTGTGGCGGGAAGAGTTGCACGAACATTTCTTCAAAGTGAGGAGGCAGCTCTTGCGTGCTGGTTTCCCCATCCAAGATGTCTCTGCTGGGTGTTCATCTGGTGCATGGGAGTGACTGTAGGGAAGAGGGAAGCCACCAGATGTTGGTGTCTGAACAGAAGGTGGCAGGCAGGGGACGCTAGGACAGCTTTTCTTGTCTGGACTTCTCTGGTGCCCTTGGCTTTGCAGTGGCAGGTGACGGATGTCTCGATGCCTCCCATAGCCTGGGCTGCTCTTGGGAACTTCTTCTCTCTCTGCCCATCGAGCTCTGTCAGTGCTTCCCACAGCCTTCAGCTTGGAGCGGCAGCCTCCTGTCTCGTGCTCTCTTTTCTCCTCGCTGAGCAGAGTGGGACTGGGGAGGCGTGAAGCTAATGAGATGCAAGCTCCTTTTGGGATGGAAAACAGAGAAATCGAGTGTGGCGAGCAGGCCCAGCTGTGATGAGCCACTGCTTGATTTCTGTTTTCAAAAGAGAAAGGGAGCATTTCTCTGCGTCTCCCCTTACTGAAGTTCCCAGGGAGATTTTATGAAATAAACAAAACAAAAAAAACCCAACCACAGTCCTGCTTTTTACCAAGTAGGAGCTGTCTCTGAGCTGAGTCTTCCTAGGGATTTCACTCCCTTTCCCAGCCCCTCTTTGTAGAGGAGGTTTTGACAGCTCCCAGCGTTTGGAGAT